AATGGAGTGCTGTAGTCAGTACAGTACCAGGTAATCACGAATCTTATCATTCATTGCGTCTAGTTGTTGCATGTTGTATTCAAATTCTTCTAATGTGTAAGCCCGGACAGCCGAATTGAAAGCCTGCGTAATATTTTGCCCTGATTTCCCATAATATGATTTGAGATTCTGCAGCAAATGGTACGAGCAGATACCATGGCAACTTTCCGGATACACCTATTCTATTGCTTTCTTTATACTGCCATGATGGTCCGATACGAAACACAATCCTTCTCTGTGCCCATATGAATTCTTCAGTTTCTCCAAAAACCATCTCCAAAATTTGTCATTCTCATTATCCCCTACTCCAAAAGCAAGAACAAATATGTCATTATTTGCATCCTGTGTTCATACTGTGAATGGGGTACCTCCGTAATGACCATTCAAATAAGTACCGTCAACGACAATTACGGGCCTACAATGTTGCCATCCCTGTATTGATGCACCGAGTGCCATAAATAGTACTTGAACCTATTGTGACTATCGACCTCCAACTCTGTGACCGTACCAGGATTTCTTTGTCGAATCATGTAGAAGAAGCTTGGTATCCTACCGAATGATTCCGTCAGATCACCCCTAATCATCTTTAATGTTTGTTCACGGGATCTCCAAACTTTTGAGTAATTCAAATATACTCCAAAAGTATGTAGCATATCACTGCATATGTCCTTTGGTATGTATATGGTGCTAGCCGATGTGTACTTGTACTTGATGCTAGATGACACAACTGCAGCTGATACTTGTCTGTGTGACCCCAACACCACATTTGATGCACATGTGTGACTACCAATCTTTCGAATCTTAAATAAATTCGTTTTACCCCATTTTGACGATCGGCATATCCAAGTACATCATTCCTGAGAACACCTCACCACATATTCTTTCTTGTCGGATCGTTCAACCATAAACTCAAACATGTTTCGTATGGCAAAAAACGATAGGCTCAATTTTAAAATATCCTTATCACGAAAAATCCTTCCTTCTTCGACCTGAATAGCATCTGCTATAGAAACAATCGTGACTTCATTGTCACAAATGTGACCTACATGTTTACTTAATGCTTCGCAGATTTCTGTGGCCACATCCTGCAACGTATAAAGCTCACTGTTACGATAAGCATTATTTGTGACCATGTCAAACGAGTACTCTATTGCTGCATCAATTATGTCAATGATTAATCGGTATTTCACTGGATCACGATCGACTTCTTTCAACAGAATGTATGTAAGCACATTGCTGTCATTTTTTATCCTGATTGCAGGCAAATCGTCGTTGAGTATATACTTCAATGATACTGCTACTTTGGTCGGATCCAAGCTGAACTCTGACATAATCATGTTTACAAAGTTTATATAACTGCATCCACGATCTACCAACGCCAACGCTGACTGAGATCCATGCAACAAACATACGTGCAAGTACACCATTTTTGCAAAATTGAACTTCAAATCCTCACATTCTCAATGGTTAATTTAATACTGTGCATACAGTTTTATATAAGAATTTATGCAATAACATGAAGTCACATATGACACTAAAAAATGCAGGTCACATTTGGCGACACACAGGTCACATCTCATGAACAAAATTGGTTTCATTTTCTTCTCCAATTCGCTCACATGTTCACATATGTGACATGCGTACGGATACTATTGTGTCGAGTGGTCATATTTTGGTCAAACATCGGATCATATTTTGGTCAAATATCGAAATAGGTCACACACGGGTATGATCAGTGCAAATATAACATGTCTTACAGATAATCGAAAACAAATGGAGGTCATATTTTTTTCACAGTAGTCACATTTAATCGACCACAACGAATCCTCTGTTTATTCGTCTTCTAGTGTAAACCAGAAAGGTCACATACGTTTTTCACATCTTATGTTTGATGTCGTTACAATCTGTCACATTTGTTTTAGTGGTCACAGACATCCACAATCAATGCTACACTTGTCTAAGACTGGTTACACTCAATTAAGTCACATATCATGCATGTTGTTCATGTCTCACTGCACAATATTATTGAATTTGAGACATATGTGGCCACGATAGATACGGACGCTGGAAATGTGCGTACAAAAGAAATTCGGATCTTATTTGATGATGCTAAATGCGAAAAAGGAAGGAGTGTAATAATCGGACAAATACCTGGATTGATTTCTGTTATGCGAAAACCTCAATTTCTCCAAGCCGATTCCAAATCTGTGACACGAAAATATCAATGTCGATGACATCAATCATTTCATATTTGAATGGCGAATACACAATTACCTGATAAATTAGGGTTCTACAGTGTCTGGATTGAAATTACTCTGGATTTTTATTTTTGATGAGGATTTGGTAGTGATAGAAACCTTTTATTGATGGAAACGAGGCGAGATTATAGGAAAGATACATAACAGAATATATATACACCTGAGATTTGAATATATACTTTTTATACTTCAATTGTTAAATAGTATTAAGTATACACCTTATATATGAATTTTTCCCATTCTTCAAACTGTTTGGTGCGTGTTGTATGGACTATTTTAATGGGCCACAGACCATTCTAATGGGCCCAGGAAATTCTTTGAATAATTTGAAATTCAACAACGTAGTCAGTCGAATCTAAATTAACGCCAAAAGTTTCGGAATTTCAGGAACAATTGTGAATAACCAGATAATGGCCACAACAAGAGAATGGCTGAAACCAGATGAGACTGCGAAAGAGTTACTCGTAAGAGTCCTCACAGAGCGGCCGTTGTTGCTTTTACCTCCTCCGCTCCACCGCCTGCCCTTCCGCGTTGGTAACGTTGTTGAAATTGTGGGCCCTTCTCCTTCGGCCAAAACCCTTATCCTCATCCAGGTGAACAAATCAAAGGTGGAATTTTCCCCTTAATTTGAAGCTTCGTAATTGTGAATTGAAATGTAGTATGAATTTTTGAAATTTTAGGCTGCAATTAATTGTATTTTGCCAAAGGAGTGGAATGGCGTGGAATACGGAGGGTTGGGGCGTGCTGTAATGTTTGTTGATTTGGACTGTCGCTTTGATGTTTTAAGGTTTTCTCAATTGCTAAAGCGACGATTAATTGGTACTATTCACAGTTATATTTGCAGAAATACTTATGGTTGAGTAGTATTTATAAGCATACTGTAAATTATTTGATTATCTTGTTTTTTGATCAGGATCAAGAGCCAATGTGTTGGGGAATGAACATGATGATTTTCATGAGTTATTGACAGTGTGTATGAGACGGTTCTTGTATATCCGTTGTTACAATAGTCTCGAATTTCTTGTTATTCTTAAGGTGAGAAGACTCTCTCTCTCTCTCTCTCTCTCTCTCTCTCTCTCTCTTTGTTTAATCTTTACATATTTTACTCTACGTAGATTGTCTTGTTGCGGCTTTCGGTGTTATTGTGTTTACTCGGTGTAGACTTGATAAATGAGTTTGCACTTGATGTAGAGCTAAAAAGTATGTTTCATTGCAAGAATGCTACCTAATAACTTGTCATTATTAAATTATCATGGTTAATAGCTTTAGCAATAGGATACTTTTTTTCTTCTTTTGCAAAACCTAAGATGAAATCTACGAGCGTCTTGTATACTTCTGGGTCAAAGTGTTTAGGTTACCTGTAGTTATTTACTCATTTTTTACTTGAAGGTGTGGGCTTGGGCTGCTGTATGGAAGTGTTGTTTGCATATTTAGTCATCAAAAGTCTTCTCGCGGCAGAATTTTCTCTTTCTGCTATAGATTTTCCTCCAATCATAAAGGAAAGAAATTTAGTCCTGATACTCGGTATTGTAATCTCATAAGTTCCTTCTCATATTATTATTATTATGTTCACGTAGTTTCTGGACTAGAGAGATTTCGTATTTTGAGTCCATGAAACACACTAGGAGTTATAATTATATCTGAAGGATTTACTATTTACAAGAATCAATTCTTCGTTAGAACTAGGGGATTTGAAACTGTATAATATGTATTTTTGTCTGTTTGATTTCAAATTCTTCCATATGTGAAGTTTTACACCATGTTACATCTCATGGTGATTTCTGGTTCCTAAAAGCCACATTTAAATATTAAAATATATATATATATATATATATATATATATATATATA